GGAGGACAGTGCCAGCGGGGCGGACCAGCGGAGGACAGTGCCAGCGGGGCGGACCAGCGGAGGACAGTGCCAGCGGGGCGGACCAGCGGAGGACAGTGCCAGCGGGGCGGACCAGCGGAGGACAGTGTCAGCGGGGCGGACCAGCGGAGGACAGTGTCAGCGGGGCGGACCAGCGGAGGACAGTGTCAGCGGGGCGGACCAGCGGAGGACAGTGTCAGCGGGGCGGACCAGCGGAGGACAGTGTCAGCGGGGCGGACCAGCGGAGGACAGTGTCAGCGGGGCGGACCAGCGGAGGACAGTGTCAGCGGGGCGGGTCAGCGGGGCGGACCAGCGGAGGACAGTGTCAGCGGGGCGGACCAGCGGAGGACAGTGTCAGCGGGGCGGACCAGCGGAGGACAGTGTCAGCAGGGCGGACCAGCGGAGGACAGTGTCAGCGGGGCGGACCAGCGGAGGACAGTGTCAGCGGGGCGGACCAGCGGAGGACAGTGTCAGCGGGGCGGACCAGCGGAGGACAGTGTCAGCGGGGCGGACCAGCGGAGGACAGTGTCAGCAGGGCGGACCAGCGGAGGACAGTGTCAGCAGGGCGGACCAGCGGAGGACAGTGTCAGCAGGGCGGACCAGCGGAGGACAGTGTCAGCAGGGCGGACCAGCGGAGGACAGTGTCAGCAGGGCGGACCAGCGGAGGACAGTGTCAGCAGGGCGGACCAGCGGAGGACAGTGTCAGCAGGGCGGACCAGCGGAGGACAGTGTCAGCAGGGCGGACCAGCGGAGGACAGTGTCAGCAGGGCGGACCAGCGGAGGACAGTGTCAGCAGGGCGGACCAGCGGAGGACAGTGTCAGCAGGGCGGACCAGCGGAGGACAGTGTCAGCAGGGCGGACCAGCGGAGGACAGTGTCAGCAGGGCGGACCAGCGGAGGACAGTGTCAGCAGGGCGGACCAGCGGAGGACAGTGTCAGCAGGGCGGACCAGCGGAGGACAGTGTCAGCAGGGCGGACCAGCGGAGGACAGTGTCAGCAGGGCGGACCAGCGGAGGACAGTGTCAGCAGGGCGGACCAGCGGAGGACAGTGTCAGCAGGGCGGACCAGCGGAGGACAGTGTCAGCAGGGCGGACCAGCGGAGGACAGTGTCAGCAGGGCGGACCAGCGGAGGACAGTGTCAGCAGGGCGGACCAGCGGAGGACAGTGTCAGCAGGGCGGACCAGCGGAGGACAGTGTCAGCAGGGCGGACCAGCGGAGGACAGTGTCAGCAGGGCGGACCAGCGGAGGACAGTGTCAGCAGGGCGGATTAGCGAATGAATGGTTCAGCTTGGAGAGGAGGGAAGGGCGAGTAGAAAGGGTAGGGTAGGAGGGAGGTTATCTGGACCAGTATAGACGGATAGCGTGGCGCAGTAGAGGGGAATGGGGGAGAGGAAATCACAGGAAGAGCGGGAAGGTGTTGGGACAAGAGGCCGCATGGAAAGGGAGAGGGAAAGGAGTCCGGGGTGGGGGGTGGGGAAGTAGAGGGAGGAGCGAGGACGGGGCGGGGCGTGAGGGGGGTCGCAGAGAGGAGGCAGGTTGTGGGCGGGTGCAAGGCGGCTGTCACCTGGTTATATACAACCCGGCATAGTACACGCCATCACCTGCTGACGCTAACCACAACACCGCACACAAAAACTTGTACCAAAGGGTTATGAATGGATGAAGTCGGAGTCACACGCCTGCAACTTGGCTACGCCGATGCTAAATATTCCCTTGTATTTCATAGTAAACGGCCCGCAATTCGTCACCCTGTACAGCCAGGCCGAAAAGCCGATTGCGGAGATTTTCAGACGTTATTAATTTATTGAATGTATTTTGCCTGGGTAAGTTTTGCGTTATTTTGTCGGTCTTGTGATAGTAGCCTAACCGATCGCCGACAACTTACTACACTGATCTACATTATTCGGTTTGCGTCGAACAAACTTGTTTATACTTGATAAACTGCTCTGAAAACGAACAAATGGTGATTATATATTTTGTTGGTGTATTCAATGCAGGAGAATTATCGCCGGAGACGCAGCGTCAAGCGCTGTACAACTTGTGCGCGCGTTGCCGCGGACGGCGCTCACTGGGAACACGTGTCACGGATCCGCCTGGAAAACATGCTACCGATAATGGTAGTTACAGCCTCCACCAGCAGCGTTGATCTCCTCGCTCATATGCAGGCTGAAGGCTCCATACACCTGCCCACACGGGTCTTCTGCATTTTCCGCCATTCCCAGCGGGCGTTCCTCGGAGCATCGTGAGGGGGGACGGATGATTGGCGGGGGCTTGGGAATTGGAGAAACACTAGGGGCACACCCGTCTCAGAAGTGACTACACAAACCCGACGGGTATAGCAGACAAGGCAACACACTCGAGGAGATAACCCCCGTTGAGTACGTTACAATCAGCTCCTCCCACCAACCAAGATCTCACTAAATAGAAATGCGAGGAATGAGATCAAATATAAAGGCTTAAAATACCAATCTACAGTATCTCCATTACCTCCCATGCCCCCAACCCCCTCCATCTTGGTGCTACGCCCCCCCCCTCCACACCACCGGCGGTGCACTTGTTTCACGGCGTCAGAAGTTGGGGTATTATCTTTCCACCTTCCCCCCCCTCTCCCCACACCCTCACGCCTCGGCCCCTATCACCGGCAAGCCATGTATTAACCTTAAGATCAATACCTATTGCATCTGTCAAGGTGAGCGGGCTGGAGAAGACTTGACGTGAGGGGGGGGCTGCTCACGGGCGGGGATGTCTTTGTGAGAGAGATGCCCCAAATGGGTGGAAAGGGGTTAGGGTGGGATGGGAAGGGGTTAGGGTGGGATGGAAAGGGGTTAGGGTGGGATGGGGGTTTAAGCTATTAACGGGGACAAGTTTTTTTCCTTCCAGCATCCTCAAGATGTGGGAAATAAAGGGAAGGGATCATTTTTTAACTGTAGCAGGAGATTTTTTATTTAAATGAATACAAAAAACTGATTTACATATAGGGTGAAAACCTTGCTAATGTATGGGAGACATGCCTTCTTGGCGGTTGGGTGAGCTTAGCCTAGCGGGGAAACGTATGCCAATAGAGCTTTTACATGTGTAAAATAAAGAATATGATGAAAAGAAACATTTTCACAGATGTGATACTTTTAAAGGAAGAAGATTTACATTTGGGAGAATATGCGACTTGGATGATCTAAAAATATTGTTGATCGAGAGATGAAAATATAGATTTTGTCTAGAAAAATTAAGATTTTGTAAAAATGAACAATTTTGGTATTTATGCTCACTATTATATATATATATATATATATATATATATATATATATATATATATATATATAGTGGGCATATCTAATTATATATATATTATATATATATAATTAGAACTGATGAAGTGGTTTCCAATTTAGGACTATAGAGAACAGACAGTTAAGTTATAAATATATTCGAGCTCTTAAAACCCTGGAAGGGAACCGAGGATACAGAAGGTGTATATAAATACATAATGTATATAGCACACGCATGTGTATATTCACCCTACGGAGTTCATACTATTGTAATGTATATATTTAAATTACTCTCGTCCGACAAGACGGGCTTTTCATCATCCTAGAGTGTGTGAAATGTAACAGGTGGCTACGACTCGAGGACCGGTACTCCCTCACACACACACAACACGAACCGAACCTCACGACACTGGAAGACAGAAGTTATGGGGAGACATAATCACTACCTACAAAATTCTCAGATGAATTTACAGGGTAGATACAGATAAACTGTTTAACAAGGTGGTACGTGAACAAGGGGGACACAGGTGGAAACTATTTGAACACACACACACTAGACATGGGAGGTGTAAGCAATGGTTGTCTAAGAAACATACAGCCAAAGGATGGAGAATTTCATACCAATATCATTGTCTTATACAGTGATCTTAACAGCTTTATGTATTTTTATTTTTCATTAAGTCTTGAACTCCCCCCACCCCAAACTTCTACCCTCCTCAGGAGCTAAACGTTAAAGTTGGTTCGCAAGAGTGTCGTAATGGTCTAGGGAAACACTGTTGGCAAATTATATGCTATAAAGAATGGTGATAAGAGAGTCGGCCTGATGTGCCTCCCTCACGTTGTGGGGGGGCTCTGAACCACCCGTGTGCTGTCATTCCTCCTCTCCAAAGGACTGAATATGAAGTGGGTATCCATTTTCCCCACCGGAATTTTTTTTCACCGATATGACACTCGTTGAAGTCGCCGTGTGGGAGTCCAGCCTAGAGCGGCGGCCGGCCTCCCAGGCAACATCACTACCACCACCCACCAGTCAACCTCTTCCCTCCCACCACCACCACCACTCAAATTTCTCAGATTAAAACTTTTTAACCACCGATTCTGAATAGAGAATATTTTTTTGTCGGTTATTTCAATTAATTTCGTCCCTAAAATTCCAGAATAAATGCCTGGAAACTGGTAGCACTGACTTCAAGGGTTTGAATATTTTGGCTTTGGTGTTTTAAAGACAACGACTACCACCCTCGGACCAGTCGTACCAGGGTTCGTGGCCTGGACAAAACTTTTGATTATCAGCACGACATGTGACTGGCGAGATGAGAGAGTGTGGAGCGTCCCTGCCTGCCGCGCTGGACACACTGCCGGTTCGCCCACCCTCACCATACTCTGGATCAAGAATTCAGGAAGACGTGCGAGTTGGAAAGAAACATAGTTGCTATGTGGCACTTTCCTCCTCCTCATCCTCCACCCCCTCCCATCTCCGTCGGGTGGTGGTCACAGTTGACCACCTCTCCCCACCCATCCTTATCTTGTCAAGTACATCTTAAACATCACCATTGTCAACTTTTAAACCCCCCTAAACCTACCCTAAACGGGAGGTATCTGGATTAGCACAATTAGCATAGAGATGGCTGTGGGCGGGAGGGCCACGTGGTGCCAGCCACGCTGGGTGCCAGCACTGCGGCCCATCCACTCTGGGGTCGAGGTCACGTTACTTACCCTCTCCTCCTCGCGGATCATCTCAGCGATGCCGGGTCGAATCTCGAAGTCGTCGGGGGCGTGTGGACGTGGCAGGGAGTGCATGTTGAGGAGTGGTGACAGGGGCGGCAGATGAGTCAGATGTGGTGCCATGGGCGCTGGGGGCGGCATGGCACCGGGCAGGCGGGCGGCCAGGGAGGTCAAGGGTGACCCTGGCAGGGAGGTGTTCAGCCCACCACGAATCAGTGGCCCCGTCAGGTCAAGAGTGGCCTCCATCATCTCCGTGCCACTAGTGGGGGTCATGGGAGTGCACGGGCGGCTCAGGTCGTCGCCAGACAACCGACGTCGTTTACGGGCGACGGCGGCGAGGACCGAGGAGGGCGAGTTGTCGTCGAGGAAGTTGGTGTGGGCTCGGGCGATGGGAGAGACGGAGGGAGAGGTGAGCACTGCAGGTTCGGCCCCATCCCCGTCAACCTCAGCCAGACCTCTGATTTTGAGGGACTCTGCCACTCGTAGTAGAGACCCCAGCTGCTCCTGGCAGATGTTGATCTCCCCCTTGTACATAAACTCAACCACTGCCTTGAGTTCAGGCCACTTGACCCCCTGCAGGATGATGACGGGGTGGGAGCAGGGAGCGTCACTCAAGAGGCACTGGAAGTAGGGTGAACACGCTGACAGCACCATGCGGTGTGCCTTCACACTGTTCCCCTCACATGACAGTGTCACGTCCACGAAACTCTCTGTCTGTAGTAACTGATCAAAAACTTGCATCAAATTGCTTTGATAGTTGTTCCATCGCAAACAAAACTGTTGGCTGGCCATGGTGGAAGGGTTGACAGACAAGGTCAGGTCAGGTGAGGTCGCCCACGGGCTGGCCGAACCAGGTGTGGTTGCCAGGCCCGGGCACTCTTGCTCCGAGGGTCAAATGTAGCTCCTTGCACTTACGACAGTCTATTTTAGCAATGGTTATCACAAGTGTCACTGGCAGTGTGCCTGATTGCAAGGACGCACATGCACGGGTGCCAACACTCACACAAGCACACCGTCCGGGACGCAACATGTACTCGCTCTCGCTCCGTCCCGCACACTGACCGCGCTCACGGACTGCAGAAGAACAACAGTTCCACTCGTGCCGCGCTGCCAGACGGAAAGATAAAAACATTAATAATTTCCCAATATTCACTTCTCGCTTATTTTCCTACATGTTATAATGCAATCAGTTTCAAATTACGCATTGGATAAACATCTTACCATAACACATACTATCAACAACAAGCATAATAAAAACAAATCCTAACTTTCTTGCTAAACTGATCATTTAAATAAACAAAAATTAAACAAGTTGGAGATAACGCTTTAACGACTAAGAACGAAATCTAAAACACCATCCCGTATTTCAAACGACCATATAACACTCCACCACTAAACACCCGAAAGAAGCCACAAAACACGAGTAAATAAAATAATATCACCAAAATAAATCTGGCTACTCGCAGACTCCTCCCCCCTGGTTGACTCCGCCTCATAGCCTAATAAACTGCAGTTGGCGAGCGCCGGCAGCAAGGCGGTCCTCTCCAGCGAAATACACTCTAATACACTTGGTATGGCAGTTATTGTTATATCACGTGGGAATTAAGAGATACGGGCATAGATATGAATTTTTATGACTCTTGATATGATTTCCTGTTAGTTACTACTGTCGCCGCGACGGATATATGTGTGCGTGTGTGTTTGTATCTGTGTGTGTTGTGTTGAGTGTTGAGGAGCGAGTGTGTTGAGGGGGTCACACGTTGCGCCAAGTTATACCCTGCCTTAGTTGCTGCTGCTGCTGCCGCTCGCGGGATCGACTCTAAACATTGATTATTTGTTGAGTAATAAGGTTTTGTTCTGACGTATGTGAGTGTTACGGCAGTGAGGCTTGGTCAAACGATGATTCTTACACTAATGAGCGAACTTAGGGAAACAAGACGCGTATACCATAGCTGTAATGATGTCGCCTCTCGAGTCGGTTGAACAAAACTTTACACGCCGGCTGTTTTCCCAAGCCTTGTCGTCCGTCACTTGCCGCAACTTCTCGCCTGGCTTAGGAAATATAACTTGCGGTAATCTCCAAGTAATGAATTCTTTTGTGCAGTGCGTTATTATTCGGATAGGTAGGGAGGGAGGGCGCGGAGTGACGGCTAGGCGTGCCGGGTTGGGTAGCGAGATAGGGGCGGTTCCTGCGACAGTTACAAGCAGCGACCGACAGTCTACCGCTGTTCACGGCCTCCTGCTGGCGTGTGTGGAGGTGCGCACTGGTACTCCTGCTACGTCTGCTCCTGCTACGTCTTCACGTCTACTCCTGATACGTCTGCGATGTCCTAGATAATGTACTACAACCTATCTCAGACGGTGTAGAGAATAATACCAGTGATAATCACTGCACCATTTCAAGAAATATAAAATATAAATTAATAATCGTCATTTATAAAAATATATATATATATATATATATATATATATATATATATATATATATATATATATATATATATATATATATAGTTTACACAAATGGCTGAAAATGGCCACGTAACGCATAAGGTGAGTGCAACTATGATGAGACTACAGTCAATTAAGCCGTGTCAGTGTCCCACAAGTTGTCATTGACACAAGAAAAATGGCACCTTAGTGAGCGCCCCCTTTCAAGATGCTCCCTAGGTGGCCATCACCCGATTATTGTTGTTGTTGTTGTTTTAGATTTAGCTACTCAGAACAAGATGTCCATGTAGCACGGGCTATAGTGAGCCCGTAACATCACCCAATTCTGGGGACAGTCTCCAACCTCCATAGAGGTAGGGGGGTGGGAGTGCCAGCAAGAGAGGTCAACCCCCTGCTATACTGGAACCGTGTGAAGATGTCCAAGGGCATCCAAGAGCCTACGGAACATGTGTGGTATAATAGACTTTTAAGACCTATTGAAATGATTGTGTTTCTTAGAAGACTTTTAGAGCGGGGTTGAGTTTCTTGGTGGTGAGTTAACTAAGCCTACTTAAAGATTACACACACACACATATATATATATATATATATATATATATATATATATATATATATATATATATATATATATATATATATCGAGAAAAATAGATGAAGTGCCAATGGGTAAAGTTGGATGTGTACATATAACGGTGAAGAACATTTCTCTGAATGAACAGAAGTTGGCAAACCTGAAATACAAGAATCCACTCTGATGTGTGTGTGTATGTGTGTGCGTGCTCAAGGCTTCTCAATGTCAAGTTCCCCAAGGAATACTGCCCAACATGTTGTGAAATAATTATTGATAAACAACGCAAAAATCATAAGGAAAGAAATAATAATGAAAACCGTTAGTTTCCGTCAAGTCCATTAATACGTAAAACATCAATGATCGCCAAATTATTTTATGATCACAACTTTAGCAGTGATTTTTAATCTTGATAGTCATCCTATTTGGACCAGGCGTTTACTAACGCCAGATAAAGTGGGTCTCTTAAAAATAGACACACACACACACACACACACACACACACACACACACACACACACACACACACACACACACACACAAGGTGCTCTACCACTAATAACTGGCAGAGCAGCGCTCGTGGTGTCCCGTCTTCCCAACCATCTCAACCATATACACACCGCAGTATACCTCACACATACACACCGCAGTATACTTCACACATACACACCCTAGTATACCTTAAGTCATGCTATCCAGTGATGATGTCACACAATACACATTCATTTCATCCATACGCGTGTTCGAAGTTACCCTGTAGGATAACCTAATGCAGAGAAAAAATATTGCGATTAACAACACATAAGTTTAGACAAAATAATTGCATCTAACACCCCCCCCCACACACACACACCAGTGTAGTGACTGCCACGCTCAGGATTCAACACCCTTGTCGACGTATTCTGATCATGTAGGTAAGCATAATATAACTCATTGGTAGCCGCTGATATGCTGCGGCAATTAGTATATATTATTTAATAATCTGGTCAATGTATGACCAATTTAACTAGTAATAAACCCATTAAGCAGTGAGGGAGCTGTTACATCTAATGTGACGCTCAATATGCAACACACACACACATTGTCCGAATTGAAATAGTAATTTGTAATAGACCTTCAAATATGCTTAATTAATTGGCATGTTTAGTATATAATTGGTAGCTAGGAATACAGCGTAGAAACTGGTGGTGGATGACAAATGCAAATTCTATTTAACACACACACATATTATATATATATATATATATATATATATATATATATATATATATATATATATATATATATATATATATATATAATGTTGTACCTAGTAGCTAGAACGCACTTCTCAGCCTACTATGCAAGGCCCGATTTGCCTAATAAGCCAAGTTTTCATGAATTAATTGTTTTTCGACTACCTAACCTAACTTATAAAGATAGGTTAGGTTAGGTTAGGTTAGGTTAGGTAGGGTTGGTTAGGTTCGGTCATATATCAACGTTAATTTTAACTCCAATAAAAAAAAATTGACCTCATATATAATGAAATGGGTAGCTTTATCAATTCATAATAAAAAAATAGAGAAAATATAAATATATTAATTCAGGAAAACTTGGTTTATTAGGCAAATCGGGCCTTGCATAGCAGGCCGAGTACGACGTTCTGGCTACTAGGTACAATATATATATATATATATGTCGTACCTAGTAGCCAGAACGCACTTCTCAGCCTACTATGCAAGGCCCGATTTGCCTAATAAGTCAAGTTTTCATGAATTAATTTTTTTCGACTACCTAACCTACCCAACCTAACCTAACCTAACTTTTTAGGCTACCTAACCTAACCTAACCTATAAAGATAGGTTAGGTTAGGTTAGGTAGGGTTGGTTAGGTTCGGTCATATATCTACGTTAATTTTAACTCCAATAATTTTTTTTTACCTCATACATAACGAAATGGGTAGCTTTATCATTTCATAAAAAAAAAAAATTGAGAAAATATATTAAATCAGGAAAACTTTGCTTATTAGGCAAATCGGGCCTTGCATAGTAGGCCGAGAAGTGCGTTCTGGCTACTAGGTACGACATTATATATATATATATATATATATATATAGGTAGTCACTCAGTAAGGTAATCACAGTATACCTCAAACACACACCGCAGTTATCTTGAGGTTATCTTAAGAAGATTTCGGAGATTTTTTGTGTCCCCGCGGCCCGGTCCTCGACCAGGCCTCCACCCCCAGGAAGCAACCCGTGACAGCTGACTAACACCCAGGTACCTATTTTACTGCTAGGTAACAGGGGCATAGGGTGAAAGAAACTCTGCCTATTGTTTCTCGCCGGCGACTGGGATCGAACCCAGGACCACAGGATCACAAGCCCAGCGTGCTGTCCGGTCGGCCGACCGGCTCCCTAACAGTATACCTCAAAAAAGTATACCTCACACATACACACCGCAGTATACCTCACCCATACACACCGCAGTATACCTCACCCATACACACCGCAGTATACCTCACATATACACACCGCAGTATACCTCACACATACACACCGCAGTATACCTCACACATACACACCGCAGTATACATCACATACACACCGCAGTATACCTCACACATACCCTAGTATACCTCACACATACACACCCTAGTATACCTCACACATACACACCATAGTATACCTCACACACACACACCCTAGTATACCTCACATACACACCGCAGTATACCTCACATATACACACCGCAGTATACCTGACACATACACACCGCAGTATACCTCACACATACACACCGCAGTATACCTCACATATACACACCGCAGTATACCTCAAACACACACCGCAGTATACCTCACATACACACCGCAGTATACCTCACACACACACCGCAGTATACCTCACATACACACCGCAGTATACCTCACACATACCCCAGTATACCTCACACATACACACCGCAGTATACCTCACACACACACACACACCCTAGTATACCTCACACATACACACCGCAGTATACCTTACATACACACCGCAGTATACCTCACATACACACCGTAGT